CCTTTTTAGGTATAAAAGAATTGAATATCTTGGGACTGTCATTCTTAGAAATGCACATAGTTTAAGCTATAAAATAATCTCTAGGCCTTGTGACAGGGTCAGGCCAGATGGCTACAGAAGAGTGATAGAAGGCAGATATATTAGTCCCAGATTAAGTAGATCCCTTTTCCCTGGGTAAGGTAACACGGGTAGTTCCAGAACAAGCAGGAACTTGCTGGAACCAGTTAAGGCAGGCAGGCTAATTAGGACACCTGGAGCCAATTAAGAAGAAGCTGCTAGAATCAATTAGGACAGACTGGCTAATCAGGGCATCTGGTATAAAAAGGCTCCAGTTAATGAGGGGGTGTGTGTGTGTGTGTAAGGAGCTGGGAGTGAGAGGACGTGCTGCTGGAAGACTGAGGAGTATAAGCGTTAACAGACATCAGGAGGAAGGTCCTGTGGTAAGACTAAAGAAGGTGTTGTGAGGAGGCCATGGGGAAGTAGCCCAGGGAGTTGTAGCTGTCGTGCAGCTGTTCCAGGAGGCACTCTAGACAGCTGCAGTCCACAGGGCCCTGGGCTGGAACCTGGAGTAGATGGCAGGACTGGGTTCCCCCCAAACCTCCCAACTGACCTGGACTGTGGGTTCTACCAGAGGGGAAGGTCTCTGGGCTGTTCCCCAACCCACATGGTGAATCTCTGAGGCAAGAAAATCCGCCAATAAGCGCAGGACCCAACAAGATAGAGAAGGAGCTTTGTCACAGCCCCCATATAACATTCTTAGAATTGTTACAATGTTTCATTCAATCTAACTTGGTTCATGAAGCTTGAATAACCAAAGCCACTCCAAAAATGGTTTAGTTCCCTTTTTATGTACTTATTCAGCTGTTTGCCTGTCCGGAAGATTTAATTTTTAGTTGAGATTAGAGGATATTTATTCAATGTCGTTCAGTTTGAGATTTCGTGTACCGTATTGGGGAAGTGAGAAGCTTTTTTCCTGCAAACAGAAATAAGAATTTAATTATTTGGACCAGCACGCATTTTGTGACTGCTGCTGTCAAAGACAGTTGTTGAAACTCAAGCGCTGTGTTTGCATGGTTATGAAAACATGATATTGGCATATTAATCTAGTTGTATCTGTGTCAGTCCCAGGATATTAAAGAGAGAAAATGGGTGAGTTAATATATTTAATTGGACCAACTGCCAACAGAAATTGGAGTCTTGGTAACTTGGTGGAGAAAGATGGGAAGAGGTATTTGTCTTAGTAATGTTAGGTTTGATTCACATGATTTCGTGATCCCTGAGTTTTGGCTGAGTGGGTTGCGTTTCTGGTTCAAACGGAACCAAAATTTCAAGCCAAATATTGCTATGCAACTGTGTGGAAACTTATTACTTTGATTTCATAATAATGAAACTCAATACTTCCTGCAGTGCTGAGGCATTTCTTAGGAGAACTAATTAGACCAGGGGTTCTCAAACTGGGGGTCATGACCCCTCAGAGAGTTGAGGTTATTACATGGGGGGGTCGCGAACTGTCAGCCTCCACCCCAAACCCCGCTTTGCCGCCAGCATTTATAATAGTGTTAAATATAAAAAAGTGTTTTTAATTAATGGAGTTGGGGGGGGGGGTCACACTCAGAAGCTTGCTGTCTGAAAGGGGTCACCGGTACAAAAGTTTTAGAACTGCTGAATTAGACCTTGCATAGGATGTGAGTTTGAACAAGGTGACAATGAGGTGACAGTGACAAGGTGAGCTAGCTATTGATAAAGGGAATTATATGATATTTTTATAGGAAAAATTGAGAAATGCAGGTTTGTTAGAATTATTGTAAATTGGTTACAAATCTGGTTAGAAAACCAAACACAGTACCTAATTCTGTTCTGTTGCATGGGTGTAAATTGGAATAATCTCAATTTAAATAAATGAAATTACAGTGCTCTGAAACCAGTTTGTTTGCATGCTCTGGTCCACTGAGAACAATTGGGGTTTGGTTCATTATCTGCTTGGACAGTAGCATCTGTGTGGTGTCATATATAGATTAAAGGAGGGCATAACAATATTTAGTATA